CAGACTTAGAAAACTGATTCTTCTCTGTTCAAAGAGCTAAGCTGTGTTGTCATTTTTACAACTCTGTAACTTTCTGGCTTTTGCCCTTGACATCTTCTAATTGTCACTGTGGTTAAATGAGTAACTTCACTTTTGTGGGCCCAGGGTGACTGTATGTAATCAAGTGGTCCTATTTAAGCAGTTTTACATTTTTTATAACTTCCCAAAATCAAATTCTAAATGAAGTTGTTTTTACTTCAAACTGCCTTTGGGATTTTCCAAAAGGTCTCTGGAAAATCTCAGAAAAATTTATTCTCTATCCCTATAAAAAGAGAGTTACTAACCTGATTAGGCATATTTAATTTGCTAATTGCGTGGATGCATGGTCAAATAAAGGTGATGTTTAAACCCTGGTATTTGTATGAACACATTGCTATTAATGTAAGTGAATTTGGCTAAGGTCTGGACACACCTGGACATTAGCTCCTTAAATAGCAAAGTGCTACTGAGAACCTACTCAAGGGTAGTTAGAAACTAGCATTTCAAGAATGGATATGTGCAGGAAAAGCTGGGGTGTGTGGTCAGTGACTTCTGCTGTCACAAGTTACAAACACTCACCCAGAATATAATTTCCCCCAAAAAGAAACAAGTGAGCTGTGGAGAGGCTGAGGACCGTGTGTGGCTGCACAAAGAATCCCAAAGCTTCCTCTTGCATTCAGCAACAAGCAGCTTCCTCCTCCCTTCCTGTAAATTCTTCCCTGGCAGCCCATCAGGGAGGCAGGCCTGGGCTTTTCCCCACCTCCTGGCCTTCTCACTAGTCTTCCTACAATAAAGCTTTCTTTCTCTCTCTCTTTCTCTCTTTCTTTCTTTCTTGCTTTCTTTCTTTCTTTCTTTCTAGCACAAACTTATTCCGTGGCATTGGTTTCTATGAGTGTCAAGTAGCAAGCCAGAAATTGTATGACCTTCCTAGAAAGCCAACATGTCCTGGTATAATGTTACCGATCCTAACTCCAATTATTATTTTTAAATGTTGTATGCCACAGAACCTTCAATGGCATTGAAATGAACTCTCGTCAGACTGTTAACACTGACATATTAGTCAGGTGTCCTATTACTTGCAGGAAATATCCAATACCACAACGTAAAGGAGGAGAGGTTTAATATGGCTCATGGGTTCAGGGGAGTCAGTCCGTGGTCAGCTGCCCCAAGGAAGAAATGTCATGGGAAAGGGGCCTGGCAGAGCAAGGCTGCTCAGTCGTGCTAGCTGGGAAGCAGACCAGGGGAACAGTGCCAGAGGAGTCAGGGACCACATGCATCACCCAAGGTCACACTTCCATGACTCACCAGGCACACCCGGAAGCATGCTTTACAAATCACAGAGGCAGTTCACAAGATAATCAAATTAGCACAATTAAACTTAACGCTGCACATGGACATTGTCTTTTCTCATTTATAGACAAGTATTGCTTTAATCTGATGCTTTCCTAAATTTTTGCCAAGCGGCTATAATCTGAAAGGTCTTCAAAGAGATTCCTGGAAAAGGTTCTGACAAATACAGGTTTATGATACCTTTAAGATTTCAGCACTGCACAGGTGAGAATTTCCAGACCTCTGAAAGAGAATGATGGGCCCATTAAATGGCCGATCCAAGACTTGGCAGAACTGGTGTCCATTACTGGAACTCAGTGAATTGATATGAATTGCTGCAATTCTTCAGACTTCTCAACTGAAACACTCTTTTTCTATAGTTTATTTCCTCACATTTAAGGTTTCTTCTCTTTCTCTTAAACTACCTAAAACAATAATAATCTCATAGGTTACATGTTTGCAAACAGCTTTGTAACATGTATCTTCTTCTTCTAACTCCATCCCTTCTGAATGATGAAACTTTTCTTGGGTGCTCTTATTTTTATAGGTAAATCATGATTTGCATAGGTTAGTAACAGTCTGTTCTTATAACACGACACAATTGGAAACACTGGTTCTTTTTTTTTGCACCAGGAATCTAACTCGGGACCTTGTGCTTACCAGACAGGCACTTGTGCCACTAAGCTATATCCCCAGCCAACACTGGTTTTATTCCCAAGGCTCTGATCAGAATATCATATTGAGAATAACATGTATAGAATCAGATACAAAGCAATGGTCATGAAGAGTGAAAGCCAACTCTATGGAGGACAAATCCTCTTGGGAAAACAGGTATTTGCCTGATTTAGGATTCCCTGCCTTACAGATGAATGAGAAAAGCCACTCCTGGAAGGCTTGGCAATCTCAAGAAGAGAGGAATTCACCTATCTATGGGTATTTCAGGTGAAGTCTGGTGTAGTCCTGGCTTGGATTCCTAGCCATGAGACACTTTTAAAAGTTCAACCTGAGACTCCTTATTGAAATTCCCAGCAAAGCAAATTCTGAAAGAACTATGTGGTCAATAACTATTCTTTGTTTAATGAGATTGGACTTATTTTACAAATAAATAAGTCTTAGTATGCTTAGAAATGGAGATGACTTTAATGACAAAAAGAATTTTGGGCAGTGTGTTCTTCAGAGAAGATAGTTGTTTCAACAAATGCCGGTCTAAGTGCCTCACATATGGCTGTGTTCTGTGCAAGTAGCTTTCAGCTGAAGTTGGCACATTTTGTAAAACTTGTATGTATCTTTTAAAGATAATAACAGGGCTGGGGATGTAGCTCAGCGGCACAGCACCTGCCTGGCAAGCACGAGGTTGTGAGTTCAATTCCCAGTACCAAAAAAAAATTTTTTTAATTAAAAAAATAAAGATAATAATAAAAGAAAAGCTAATATTTATAAAAAAGAATTTTGAGGTTTATATATTGAATTATATATAAAGAATTTTGAGGTTTATATTGAGAATTTTATATATAAAGAATTTTAAGGTTTATATTGAGGTTTATTATAGCACATCCAGTATTATATTCTAGGCCTATCATTTGTCTTTGAACTTTTGTTATCTAACAGTAATGTAGACTAAATCCTGAATTCTTCTGGTTTTCCAAACTAATATTTTGTTTTCTCCTATGCTTCTGACTTGGTGTCATTGCCCTCACCCAGATCCCTGTAAGTTGAAGCTGAATGACAAAATACAAACTTCAGAGAAGCCACAACCACTCATAAATGGACAACATTTACACCTACTGCTGTACAGACCACTCAGACAGTCCACCCAAGTACGCCTAACATCACCAGAGGCATTCAAAGCACATACATGTACACAAAATGAACAAATAAAGTTCAGCCCAACTGCTAGAAATTTCAACTGGTTGTTCCTCAGATTCCGAAGCTGGATTTATAGTCTGCTCCAGTCTGTTCTCAAAGCCTTTGTTTTTCTCTTGTTTCCATGGAGATGGCTCTTACTAAATGCTGCTTGCTCCTATCTGCAATATCATGTTCTGAAAAAAAATAAAATGCAAACTATAGACCAATATCCTTCATGAACACACACAAATAACTTCCACAAGACGCTAGCAAACAAAACCACACAGTGTATAAAAGAGTGATGTCTACGGCTGAAGGAGTTCATGCCAAGAATACAAGGCTGGCTCAAGGCTGGCTTTATTTATTTAAAATAAATCAACGTAATTTAACAAAATGTTGTGTTGAACTGTGTGCCTCAAAAAGGACATGGTGAACTTCTAACCCCAAGGATCTATGAATCTGATTTGAAAATATGTGTTTTGCAAAATGTCCTCAAGCTGAGTTCTTAGAGTGGCCCTAGCCTGGTATTGTTAATGTGTTTGTAAGAAGAGAGAGACACAGAGGGGAGAGCTCCATGTGAAGATACAGAAACAAACAGGGCGGGCCTGGTGTGGTGGCGCACGCCTGTAATCCCAGCACTCGGGAGGCTGAGGCAGGAGGATCATTGCAAGTTCGGGCTACAAAGTAAGCTCAAGGCCAGCCTGAGCTACATATCAAGACCCTGTCTCAAAAAGACAAAAGAAAAAAAAGAAACACACAGGGCGATAACAACCAAGAGAGATGACCGAGGCAGAGAATGGACTGAGGCATCTATTAGCCAAGGAATTCAAGACTTGGTGGAAAACACCAGCAGCTTAGAGAGGAGAGGAAGGATTTTCCACTAGAGGTTCAAAGAAGCAGGGTGCTGCCAGTGTGCTGATTCTGGAGTGGTGGCTTCCAGAACTATGCCACTATGTTCCCGTTGTCCTGAGCCATCTGCTGCTACCGCTTTGTTCTGGCCACCTAGAAAATGAATGCCCTGACTGGAGCGGACAGCTGACAGAGGCTCAGCAGAGGAGAAATAAAATACTGGAAATGTGTGATATCTATCTATTTATTTTTCTTTAAATCTACCCAAGTTTAAGACTGAAAGAGAACTTCTTAAGCTCCTAAGCGGTACCACACACATCAAGTGAAAATTTCATCTAACACCATGCTGAATTGTGAAAGCCTAAATGCTTGCCCTCCAATTAGGAGTTAACTGAAGGCGTTCTTTCTCACCACTTCTGTGAAACATCATAGAAACAGTCCCACTCAGTACAATAAGACAAGAAAAAGAAAAACACAGAAAATTCCTGCAAGAAGACATAATACTGTCTCCTTTGGCAGCTTCTATGATTATCTAAAAAGAGAGCCCATAGATTGTCTTTAAAGGCTTCCAAAACTAATAAATAGTTGTAGCAAAATGGGAAGATATAAGCATAACATTAAAAAATGACTTTTGTTCCACTTAAATGCAGTGACTAATTAGAAATTAAAATGGGGGCAAGTCGCATTTTAAAAGCATTCATAAAAAATGAAATGCCTGTGCATGAACATGACAACTTATATGTAGGACGTCTCTGCTGACAACCTCCAAGCACTGACAAAGCAACGCAAAAAAACAAAGTAAATGGGAAGATGTACTACGTTTACAGATTAAAAGAGTCACTATAATCAAGCTTTTAATTTTCTAGAGTGACTTGCAAATGCATAGCTATCTTCTATGATTTCTTGTATATATCAACACATGTATTCTAAAATCTACAGAGAAAGTAAGAACTACTTACCTTGTATGTAGAATCAAAAACACTGTGAAGGTGAAAAGGAAATTAATAAAGATGAACAGCTGAAACAGAAGGGCTTCGAACTTGAGCAGACGCATCCCATGGCAATCCTCCATGAGCGCAGGACGAGGTCCTCAGTGTCATCAGTCTCCAGAGACACAAAAAATAAAAACACGATGGAAAACAGCACACTTTCAAGAAAATGACTAAAATAAAAGGAGTGACAGTACCAGCTATCAGGAAGGGCACGGAATTCATACACACACCTGATGGAACTAAAGTTACACAATCTTCTTGGAGAACTGTTCGGCAGTTTCTCATAGTTTCATATACACCCACTCTATGGCTCAGCAATTCTACTCCAAAGTTTTCATCCAGGAGAAATTAAAACGTATGTTCACAGAAAGCCAAAATGTGATTGTTCACAGCATCTTTATTCATGTAGGTTGAATATCCCTAATCAAAAGTTCTGAAACCAGGGGCTGGGGATTTAGCTCAGTGGCAAAGCACCTGCCTGGCAAGTGCAAGGTTGTGAGTTCGATTCCTGGTGCCGGAAGAAAAGACAAAAGACAAAAAAAAAAAGAAAAAGAAAAAAAATTCTGAAACCTAAAATGCTCTAAGACCCAAAATTTTGAGCTGCAATACACTGCCAAAAGTGGAAAATTCCACAACATGAAAGTGTGTTTCATCCACACAATTATTTAAAATATTACATTAAATAAGTCAGGCAATGTATATAAAGTATGTACGAAGCATAAGTGAATTTTGTGTTTAGACTTCCATGCTATCCCCATAATGTCTCATTATATATAGGCAAATATTCCAAAATTTGAAAAAATCCTCAATTCCAAACCCTTTTAGTTCCAAGCCTTTCAGATAATGGATAATTCCTATAATAGCCAAATGGAAACAGCTGCAAGGCCCACCTCCCCTGACAAGGGATAAAGACCTGATGGTACATTTGTCAAATGCAAACTAAGCTGCACAGAGAAGACAGGTACTCACGAGGGCAACCCGCGTGACTCTCGGAAAGCGCCACACTGGAGGGAGAGAACCAGACTCCAGTAACACCTTGTGCTCCCGTTTGTCTGAGTCAGGGCAGGGAAGATTAATCACTGGTGACAGAAATCAGACACAGATATGTGGGGTGGACTGGGGAGGCAGAGTTGTGCGGGGAAAGTTCTGTACCTTATTTGGGAAGTGGTTTGTATGGGTGTCCATGGTTGTCAAAATCCATTGAACTGAGTACAGATATGTGGGATTTATTTTCTGTAAACTATATGCAGCTATCTGCTTATCTAGCACTTTGTTAATTCAGTCAGACCAATTCCCCACACTGCTGAAATGAGTCATACATTGTTCAAAAATTTCCAACTGTATACCCTCCGTGTCTTTTTAAAATCCCAGCTTCATTTCTTCTTTTTCTTCCCTAAATTACGAAAGTACGCCTCTTCTTGTTTTACATTTGATCAGCCTTATCAAAAGTTTATGACTGTGTTTTTGTTTCTCTAATTTCTGCTTTTATTATGTCTGTCCTGCTTATTTAGGAATTGGTCTTTTTCCTCTTTCTCAATTCTTGAGTTTGACTCTGAAGTCACTGATTCTTTATTATTCCTTTTGAAAAGTTTTATTAAGTCAGGAACTGTGAATGTTTTGAGATGTCGTCCTGTGGACACACTGCTGCTCCTCTCCAGTCCCGGGATAGGAGAGGCCTCCAGACGCACAGCAGGAGTCAGAGCTCTACACACAGCACAGGGGGACCTCCCACACCCCTGCTCCTTCGTGGGAAGGATGCTGCACCCTGCACCCCTCTGGAATGTTAGTCACGTCTCCTGGCATTGGTCAAATGAGCTTGTGATCCAGGGCTTTCCATTTCAAACTGTCACCCAGGAAGGTGACCCTAAGTCCCTCAGGTGACACAAGGTTATTTAATCTATTTCCCAGGTCCCTACCCAGGAATGTAGGCTTTTGCCCCTATCTCAAAAACTAAAAGAGCGTTTGCTGTCTTCTGGTTGGACTGCACTCTCCCCAACTTTAAGGAGACAAATATCCACAGTTACAGTCGCCAAGGCATGTGAAAAGTAAAATATTTGGAAGATAAAGGAAGGCATAATTCAGATTTGCAGCATTTTGCTTTCAGTGGTTCAGGCGGCCAGAACCTTGCAAAACTAAGAGACATCCAGGGAAGATTTATTTTCCCATGCATGCATTTTAAGGCTATAAATTTCCCTCTGTTGGCCGATTTAAGGGTATTCACAAATGTTGCCTTGAAAGTTCTACTCTCTTCTAAATATTTTCTAATTTATGATTTCTTTCTTTAGTTCCCTCCCCTTCTGAGATATTTTAAGTGTGACTGGTTTCCAGCATTTTGAGGGGAGATGTGGATTTCTTTGGCTCTCCATTTTAATGAAATGTGTTCAATGTGGAAAAAACAAACAACTGAGCTCACCAGAAGCTGTTACCAGTCCTCTGGTTGGCATTTGTTGATTCTAGCCTGGATGTGGTATTCTGCTCCCCTTGGAGTTTTGGGATCATGGCTCAGTGTATTTCACCCAAGTATAGCACCTCGGCACCGGAGAAAACAGAAACGGAAGGTCACCCTCACCTTCTGCTCACCACTCGTAGGAAACAGGTCAGGAAGCCGAGAAAGGCCTTCTCCCACCCGCCTTCTCCTGAGGTTCGCATCTTTGGACGTTCCTTGGAGAGAGGCCCTGCCTAGACCCGGGGGCAGGAAGGTTCAGGACACAGGAAGCATCTGAACCACAGCCTGGCCACAGTCCCTTTTGTTATCACGAGCTCAGAGCCACTTCCTGCAATCATATTTCCCCGTGACTGTCTGCTCTGGGTTAAACCTGATCATGAGCACAGCTTTACCTTGCTTTTGTTCTTCATTTCCATAGGAAGTTTCTTGTGTCACGTAAAAATCATGTTAAATAAACGTACAGTTTTCTCTTGTTAATCTGCATCTTGTCAGAAGGACCTCAACCGTGAACCAGGTGATAGGTGAGAAAAACATTTATTCTCTGCAGTAGTAATGTGTGTGTGTGTGTGTGTGTGTGTGTGTGTGTGTGTTTTATATCTAAAATGCACCCTGCATGTCTCACATGTTGGGGAAGTGGCTGGATCTTGGGGGACACTAGCCCTGACTTGCCACAGGAGGTGGGGCCAGATTTGACCTGGTTACGGGAGCATGACCTGGGACAGCGTATCCCGCCCCAGCTCCTCCTGTCTCTTGGCTTCCTGCTGCCATGGTGTGAGCACCTTTTCCTCCACCGGGCCCTCCACCATCCCACTCCTGCCTTGGAACCAGCAGATCATGGACTGCACCCATGAGCCTCTTACCTCTGCAGTCATGAGTGTGGGGCGTTGTGTGCCAAGGACCAGAGAGTGACTAGGACACATGTTCGTGCATCATAAGATTTGACATTTTAACCATCTTATCTATACAACTCAGCAACATTAATGTTTTATATTCTGTAATTATTAGTTGTGAACTTGTACCTGTTAAATCAATGGTATCATGCTGCTCAAATCATCTATACCCTCATTAGCTTTTCTTGCTGCATTTCTATTACTGTAAGAGGTACAAATTCTATTACCATAATTTCATGTGTTTTCTTGCAATTATGTGTTTTTACACCATATTCTTTGGCACTGTGTTGTAAAAACTACAATTATTCTATCTTCCCAGGAAATTATCCATCCCACCAATATGTAATTACCCCAACTACCCCACACACATTTTTGAATTAAAATTTACTTTATTGCATGTGATGCTATCACCAGGGTCGAGCTGAGTGAGTGGAGGAAGGGACCCTTCCAGGAGAGCGGAGGTGACCAGATTTATTTCCCCCATAGGGGTGCCCTGTGGAAGCAGCTCCTCGCCACACTGTGCGGAGAGAACTCTGCAGAGTGGAGAAGGAGCTGCCTCTCCTCTGACCCAGTCCTTAGCTGAGCCAAAGTCCTTGCTCCTCTCTGTAGCTGCGCCCCTTGAAGACACATGGAACCCCAAGTCAGGCTCTTGCAAGGGACCCTGGCATGTGCACACCACAACACCAGGTGTTTCTCCTTCTGCCCTTCTGTCTTGCTGTCTTATATATTTGTGTCAAAACTGTAAAGGACTCACTTGTCAGACTTGGATTTAGGAATGAATCAGATTTAGGAACAAGTCCAACTTAGGAGGGTTCTCTTGGAGCAGGACCCATTAGGGAGTCGGGACTTGCTGTATTTTGGTTGAATTAGAACAAACTTAGGGGGTGACTGTGATAGTTAACCGTGTCAGCTTGAGTAAGAAACGCCCAACTAAATTGGATCAGCATAGTCCTGGGTGTGGCTAAGGGGATTTACCGAAGACAGAAGACCCGCCCTAGATTGAGTGACACCAACCAATGGCTGGGGGCCTGAATGAAGTAAAAGGGAAAGGAAGAAGGAAGCTGCTTCTGTTTCTTCAGAGGAGCCCCAGTCTCCCCCTCAGCTTGGACATTATCTCTTGGCTTTCAGTGCAGACCCTTCAGCCTCTTGATACGGACTCACGGGACACCAAAGTGAGCTCTAGGCCTTCAACTGGATCCATCAGATCTCAGCACACAGACAGCCCTTCTGCACAGTCCCACACCTGACTCTGTGGGCGGCCCTTGTAAGCCTACCTTGTAAATCCACATATATTTGTATGTCTTGCATTGAATCTGTTTTTCTGGTAAGTGCTGACTGATGCAAGGACCAAATGTGCCTTGAGGAGTGCAGCAGCGAGAGTGAGCACAGGCTGCTGTGGATGCTGCACACGCTCAAAGAGGCCAGCTGCGCAGGGTCTGAGCCTGCGGTCAAAGCCACTCAGGAGGATGAGACAGGAGGATGCTGAGCCCAGCTGTTCAAGGCCAGGCTGGGCAGAAGAGCAGGCAGAAGTGAGAGAGGAAAGCAGCCCAAAGCAGAATCCACACCAACATCACCTTATGCTGCTCCTTCCTTTGTAAGGCTGAATAACGTCCCACCGTGTGCACTGTATGTATCAAATTTCATCATGTCCTTCCTCCTGCAGTGGGCACAAGTTATTTCTGCCTCTTAACTATGGGGATAACTGATTCCTGGGGAGAAAAAGCCACAGAGGAACAGAGAAATCAAGCCATCTGTTTTTCTTCACAAAGCAGTAGTGGACTCTTTATCATTTTCATGAATAACTTTCTCAAGCACTCTTTCTCTTTCTACACACAGATATCAAAACAAATATAGATACACAGAGAGAGAGTGGCTTTACACAAGAGACCTTGTGCTAACGTGCTGTCCTCGCACTTGGCTCTTAACTGACATTTGGCCACTATCATGTTCTCACATCAAAGCCTTCTGTCTACCTCAGCACTATGGTGACCGGATCATAGCTCGTTAAATGAGCCAGCAGCAGGTCACTTACCACATTCCCTACACAGGGAAATGCAGTGTGATCAATCATTTGTACATAAACATTAGAGAGGGCTTGGTGACAGTATCTGGGCACAGCCATCACGGTGCAACTTCAGCTCAAAAGAAACCGCTCAGTGTACAAATAAGAATGTCCTGCATTTTTCTAATCTGGAAAATGAATTGTACATGAGAAAAAATATTACTTTATTCTAGTGTACATCAAGGAACGGAACAACCCTTCGTGATTTGCGGTCTGTTTTAATTCTTTTATGGTTTCCCTGTGAACAACTACTGCACATTTTTCTTCTTATGAAAGCTATCCTTTTCTTACAAAAATATTTGTGATCATTTTTGTTTAAATATTTGTCTCCCTTTTGGAGTTTCCTTTGAGCATCTATAGAGCATTTTTTGACAAATAGAAGTTTTATTATTTTTTAAGTAAGTTTCCATATCTTATTTTGTAGCATCTGCTTTTGCTGACATTCTTAGGCATTTATCACCATAATCCAAAGGGTGCAGCCACCGCAGTGACGCACAGCTGTAGTAACAGTCCGGAGGGAGGCCAAAGCAGGAGGATCACAAGTTCAAGTCCCACCTGGGCAACGTAGCAAAGCCCTGTCTCTAACTATCACCGCAGTTTCCTCTTTCTTAATGTGTACAGACATGTGCACAGATTATAACATTTCAAATATTTTGTTTTTGTTTTTTGCAACGCTAGGAATTGGACTCAGGGCCTTGTGTATGCTACACAAGTGCTCTGCCACTGAGCTGCATCCCCAGAGCCAGGACATTTTATAATCTATAGTTTCTTTTCAGCTTTTAAAAGTAAAGTGTTCATACAGTTGGAATATATTACAATGAGGTGAGGATGTACTTCAGTATTTTCAAAACTAAACATTGAGGTTTTCCAATGCCATCTATTAAATAATTATTTCCCTTATTAATTTAAGGTGTCAGGGTGTCACATTGTAAAACACATCTATGTGTGAGCTTTATTGTCCCATCAAGTACAGTGCCCCAAGTTGAAACAGTGAATTTTATACAAAACTGAGCTTGTCTCACGAAGTCAAAGAAGGATGTTACAGATGGAGGAGGAAGTTAGAAGAGTGCTGATTGGAAATAATAAGAAGTTCCTGGCAGTGCCCACGCGGAGAGAGTTCCAAAAGCGGGGCTTGCTGAGGTGCTTGCTGAGTTGTGGTCTTACGTAGGTAAGTGGAGAGCAGGAATTGTTTTAAACAGGTGGCTCTGTGGGCTTAGGGTCTAAAGAAAATTAATTTCTTAATTTGGCTGAGTTTAAAGGAAGCCTGGTTCAAAGGAAAATGGTTACTCTGCATTTCTAAGTTCCTCCAAGTCCAGGCCAGAGGCAGGAAGGAACAGCCAACTCACCAGCACATTCTGCCTAAGTCTCTTTCCCGGAAGGGCAGGTTCTTATCTGCCCATTCTTACCCTAGCTTTGTATCCTTTTCCCGGTGTTTCTTATGTCACTAAGCTTAACTAGCTGCGTGGCTTGAATTAGCTCTTAACTCACTGTGTGTGCTCTTTTCTTTGTATCCAGCCAACCCAGTCTGCCCCTTACTGACTGCCTCCTTATAAGCTGGCTAAACTGTCTGCATCCGTCAGAGTATTTTACTGATGACGCACTGTTCTAATCACATTTTCAAATGACTGTGTACTTTGCCATTTTTCTTTTATTTTCATAGCTTTCAGATTACTTTCCCTTTTTTCAATGTAAACATGAAAGAACTATAAAAAAGTTTCAAATGAATCTTTGTGTTGTAGCTCTAGAATATGTTAATTTCAGGAAAAATACTTTCTAATAAAATTAACTCCCTAAAAACTGGGTACACTAATTTTCCAACTTTTCCTTTATGTTCTTCAGTAAAACTTTGTCATTTTCTTTCATAGATTCTGTCAAAGAGCAGAGCAGCAGCCTCTGTGCTCTGTGGATCCCTCCTGGCTTCCCGTCTGACCAGTCCTCCTCTCCCTTTGCATACCTCCTACCCTCCTTCCAGGGGCCAAACCCAGGAGGTGCTCAGCCAGGAACCTCCACCTCCAAAACTATAAGCAAACTTATCTCTATAAAGCACCCAGCATCAGTTATTTTGTTCTAGCGGTGGACAGTGGGCTAACGTACCTGGCTATATGAATTTTGCTAGCACCACTTCTGTGGCTTAAATTACCATTTTCTCCTTTGTAAGTAATAACCTGTAGGGGTTTCTTTTATCTAAATTTCCTCCGTGAGTTTTAGAATACATTGATGATTTTTCCTTAAACCAAATATTACTCTGCTGCTGGTGACAAGGATTTCAAACTCTGTCATTTCTTTTTTCATAGTGTTGATTGGCATTTTACCACAGGGAAGAGATCTGCTTCCCCCCAGCTCCTCGCCCCCTCCTCCCTGCTTTCCTTCCCTCCTCCCGTCCTACGGACCGATGAACTCTCCCCTCAACGGGCCAGTGTCCATTGCTGTCCTTATTATGGATTCTTTCACTGTCCTGCCAGATTCCATTTCTTAATATTTTATTTATTCATCATCAATATTTATAAGTGATATTGATCTACAGTTTTTATATTGTGTCCTACCTTTATCCGGTTTTAATACAGTTTTTATAGGTGTTGTAAGAGTTACCAGAAAACCCTAGAGCAATTGAAGTTACAGAAAAAGTCATTGGTTTCTATTGAGTCTTAGTTTTTATGTGAGTAAATCTGGTTCTCTCTCTCTGTGTTTCACTGATTTTGTAGTTAAACTTACACTTTATCTTATACTTAATATTATTTAGGATAGATTCCTGTGAAGTACTTTTATAATTATTTTACTTTTTCTAATACTCTATTTTCCCATTCTTATTTCTAATTTGATATTCCGTATTTCCCCCATGTACCCCTTGATTTAAAGATCTTCTGCTTGCTGTCAAAATTGTCATTTATTTTTCTCTTGAAAATTTAGCCCTTGGGCTGGGGATTTAGCTCAGCGGCAAAAGCACCTGCCTGGCAAGCGCAAGGTCGTGAGTTCGGTTCCCGGTACCGGAGAAAAACCAAAAACCAAAAAAAAAAAAAACACAAAACGAAAATTTAGCCCTTGATATTTGCATCAATTCTGTTATTCTTCCTATTTCCAGCTTATCATAACAGCTGTACTAATTTCTCACGTCTGCTATCCTTAGGCCTACTTTGCAATACTTTTTACAACCTACATTTTATTCAAAACTCTGCTTTCCTCTGAATACAGCTTGACAATGAGCCTTTGATTTTTATTTGGAGTGTTCCTATTATTATTATTTTCTAAATATTCTTCAATTTCTGACTCTACTTTCTCTTTGATCCTAAAGTTACTTTCAAGATGGTTTTAGAATTTCAAAACTGTTAAGGCATTCATTTGTTTATTTCTACCTTTGGTCCTTGCATGTATTGTTGCCCAGTCAAAAATACTTCTTACTAGAATTTATTTTCAATTTTCTATTTGTCATGTAATACATGGCTAACCGGTACACATGTTGCCTTAAATGTGTGAAAGGAAACATCCGGCCATGTGTTTGAAGTGCGCCTTTTGGCCTGTGTGAGACCGCGCTGTAAACCGCAGGGTTCATGCTGAGCCTCCGCATGGACTCTCCCATCTGGTCATGAAGGATGGAGCAGGGGACAGTAACCGCTCTCCTTCCACTTTCTGTTGATCTCTCTCTTCCTAATAGTTCTCACTCTGTGTCAGTATAAAAAGAATATCTTTGTGGCTCAAGTTCAACTTTCAATCACACCCCCTGCCTTCTACTTCAAGTTTGCCTGTTGGTTCTCCGACCAGTTCCCTGCCAGCAGAGCACATTTAACACCCCAACTAGGGAAGATGGGGACTGCAGGGAGCTGCACGGCCAGCTGTCTCAGCATCCGCCCCCCAGCTCTGTCCTTCCAGTGCTGGAAAGTGTCCGGACAGGTGTCAAGGCTGCCGGAAGGCTCAGCCTCGGAAGAGCAGGTACTTCCTGTCTCTGCTAAATCTCGATGAGTAAGTTAGTCTTTGCACGGAAGTGAGGAATGACTTGGGGAAGTATGTCCTTGAGGCCTGATTCACGCTGTCCCTGATGTCATAGTCTCCTTTCGTGCTGTTCCTGGGGCCTGTTGGTCCTGCACCATGGCCTATAGTTGCAAAGGTCTTGCCTTTTAAGCTCCAAATCACATTTCCTGGAAATCCTGTGCTGTCGTTTGATGGGGTGGAGATTTGAAACCTGTTCTGCTTAACTTCCCCACAACCTCTCTCTTCCTCTCTTGATCTCTCTCTGGTTTGGTTTGGTTTTGTTTTGTTATGAGACAGGATCTCATTATGTAGCTCAGACTGGCCTTGAACTCACTATGTACTCCGGGAAGGCCTCGAACTCATGGTGATTCTCCTGTCTCAGCCCCCCACATGCTGTGAGTACAGGCTTGCACCGCCACACCTGGCATCACACACAGAACGTTTTCTGAAGGTTCTGGCTCCCCAAGAATCATTAGGGTGCTCCTTGAGACTTCACAGTCTAACACCCAACTTCCCTGAACCTGATTTGACAGGTCTGCTGTGGGACCCAGAAACCTACATCTCCCACGTCTCAACTAAGGCAGAGGCCAAAGGGTGTGCTGTGGACACTGCAGCAAGCTATCAGGGGAGGCCAAGGCACAGATGTCCTGGGGCAGCCACTCCAGCTTCCTGGGAGGACTCGTGAGAGAAGCAGGTTGCGATCTCTGATATGGAATTGAAGTAAAAACATCTGTTTATTCTGTGTTCTCCTGTGTCTGCACAAACACACTGAAAAGGGGCCAAGCGCACTCTGAGTCATCGAAGCTCCGTCCCTGTGCCGTCTGAGAAGCTCAGTGTGTGACCAGCCGAGGCTGTAACCTGTGACTCGTGCTTGCAGGGCTGCCAACCCCTCACAGCCAGGTAGAAGGCATTCAAGAGCTTGGCAGGCAAATTCAGTCTGAAGCGTTAGCGAGAAGACAGGCAGTGAGGCACTTAGATTTCACTTCTGCTGGAAAACAAATACCATTGCACACTGCATCTGGGCCACACTGCCCCAATCTGCCTTTTCCTTAAAGACGCTTTGCGGAACAGAGGTCTTTATTCTGTTCCAGGTTGTTCGGGAAGCGTGAGGCGCACGACTATTTGACCCTCCAGGTTGGGCAGCTTCATCTGATAGACAATTCAAGCCGTGTATTTACCAGTGAGCAGCAGCACCCTCGAGGCGGTGAGTGTGTGGAGCTGGCTGCAGGGTCCAGCCTACGCTGGGAAGCCTCGTTTCCCGCTGCAAGACTCCCTCCCTACGGCCGCTGCAGGAACAGTCAGAGCGGAGTTTGTGGGAAACCCAGGAGCGCTGCCTCTCCCACCGGCGGTTTAACTCTGGACAAGCTGTCCCGTTCTCCGAGTCCCATTTGCCACCACCTTAGCCAGCTTTCCGTATCAGTAACACATGCCTGAGACCGTGGACCTCACAGGGGAAGCGTGGACTTCCCGGCCCTGGTCCGGCCCAGCCCCTCGCTTCTGGGCCTGCAGCGAGGCGCACGGGGTGGGGCAAAGCCATGGAACTCGTGGGAACACGACAGGAAGAGGAAGCTCCCTCCAGGGTCGTGTCCCCTCCACGGCCTGTGCCCAGCAATCTGTGGCTGCCCAGGCCCCGCCTCCACACCTTCCGCAGCCTGAACGTGGGAGCTTTGAGGACATCTACCAGCAAACCTGTAGGACCCAGATGAGAAAGCAGCCACGCTGTTCAGGAACACAGAGGACCCAGGGTCACGGTGAGGTGAACGCAGATGGTGCAGAAGCCCCACCCACGTTCGTCCAGGTCTGTGCCAAGCAGGAATGCGGCCAGTCCAGGTTGTGCCCCCTTAAAGGACAGCTCAGCCATTGTACCTCGTGGCAGGCACTTATCACAACCCTGTCACACCTTGCACAGCAAGTAATCTGTAATCTGTGCCCTAAAGGTATGCTTTGCACCAGGAAACAGGACTTCATCTGCCGACCTGGTCATGTATGCTTGGTGGAAACCGTAGCAGGAGGTGAAGGACACCAAACAAACCAGGGTCCAGGAGCCACAGAATGTCACAGCCTCTGGTCCAGGCCCTCGGAGCTTGCAGATGATGTGGGGGCAGGGCAGGGCAGGACGGGGAGACGCCTCCTTGGTTCTGTTGCTGTCACAGCAAAGCCACATGTATCCTTCGCCCAGATTTGGCTTCCTTGGCATTGTTTCAAAATGAATTAATTTTTCAGTTGACAAATAAGAATCATACAAGCATTTCCTTGAAGCACGAGCTTTCACTAAAGCTTCCCATTCAGCCACTTGCTGTCAAGCCCAGCACCAGGGGCTGGTGACACAGACACGTGGTCCCCGCCAGGTCTGGACAGGAGCCCCCGGCATGGACAAAGACAGCTCTGACCTCTGTCCCTGCCACCCTAGTAACTCCAGAACCCCTGGAGCAGTTCTGGAGGAAATAAAAACTGTAATCGCTAATTGATCCTCTGGCCCAAATGATGTTTATTTGGAATGTTTTCTTTCTGCTGTGAAACTGAGCCGTGCACTGAGAAGTCACAAAGCGCCATTCTCCCGGCGTCGGCAGAAGTGGATTTAATTTCCGGAGTCGGGCGTGCGCCTGGGCCTCTGGGCCTGTGAAAGAGGCTCAGAAGTTCGGTCCAGAGCCCCCGTAGGTCACGGAGGCAGCCGGGGGCCTGTGGAGCGCAGGGGCTCCATGGCACGGAGCATCACTTTCTCATAAAAACACAGTGAACTAAGAGTCCGGACGGCGGACGTCTGGCTTGTGATCAGATTTTGGCTGAAGCTGATGATCCTGGAGCAGCGGGGGAAAGGTGAGCCCCGCTGTCCCGGCCACATTCCTGTGCCGTCAGCCTCCGTTCCGGAGCCCTGCCGAGCCCCGAGTGCGGCGGGAGCCCAAGCATGGCGCTGCTCCTTCTGCTCGTGAGACCGCCAACCTCTTCCCGTTCCCAGTCACAACACGGCCGGGCGGGCTGGGACCCACTCGTGCCTTCCGAAGCGTTTTCTCATCTCCTTAAAATAATTCCGCGTCAGCTGCAAACTAGCAAGAAGGAGGACGTGTGGCGGGGAGGTTCCCAGTGCCCAAAGACGCGGGCGTTTCCTGTGCCCGGAAGCCCGCTCAAGGAAAACTGGGCTGGCATGGTCAGCCCTTTCTGGCCAAAGTGTGCCAACAAGTACATTTGCAGGATACATTTTTGACTGTGAATTAGCTAAACTAGAAATGCATGACTTAGTGTTATATGCAGAAATGCGGTTATTTTGGTAGCTCAATACCTTGGAAAGAGAATATTGATTCATGTGGGGCCTGAGGCATTTAATTAATCATAACTTCCCAAAAGATTGCTGAAACTTTTGTTTTAGTGGTACTGGAGATTGATCCCAGGGGTGCTCTACCACTGTGATATACTCTCAGCTCTTTCTTCAGTTTCTATTTTGAGACAGGGTCTGGCTAAGTTAGCCAGGTTGGCCCCAAATTTGCATCCTCCTGCCTCAGCCTCCTGAGTAGCTGAGAGTACAGGAATGTGCCACTGTGCCAGCTGCTGAAACCCTTCCGAATGTACCATCTCTTTTACCATCCTCCACAGGGGCTGGAAGGGCATGGTGCCCCTGGGAGGGCTCAGCTGTGTACACAGAGGCTACAAAGGGTTCTGTGGCTGAGTTTGGTGAGGGCGGTGTGAGCAGAGACCCTCGACAGCTTGTGGGAGGTGGGAGGCCGTCACGAGCTGGGACCATGAGCAGGCACAGGTCAGATTTTGCTCCTTCTCCTTACTCCTGCCAAGCTGCCCATGGCCACGGGGACAGGAGGCGCAGAGTGCCCAGCCAAGTGTGGGCAGGACACTCCCAGAGCACAGGACAGGAAGTGGCCCTGGCGGGCAGTGAAGACCTGAGCATCCCAGGAACCGGGTGCCCTGGCCGGGCATGTCCAAGTCTGACCCTCTCTCACTGCGGTGCCAGGCTCAGATAAGGGCTCTGCTCCAAGGGCCCCGTGGCCTTGCTGTCCGTGCTGCTGCGGCTTGGAAGTGTCCCTGGCACTCTGGGGGCTGGAAGGGCAGCCTGGTGAGAGAAAGGGAGGCCACCGAGCAGCCCTCAGAGGGGACACTGGCATCCCAGCCCCTTCCTGTCTGTTTCCCAGTCACCATGAGGCACTGTCCCCCGTCACCCACCAGGAGCAGCAGGCCAGGCGCTGGTGTGCAGTACCCTGAGACCGCGGGCACAGCAAGCCTCTCTCTCCTCTGAGGGCAGCTCCTCATGATCCCCCACAGCACAGAGATCCAACCAACACCGGGCCATGGGGAGAGAGGACACACGGCCACCGGAGCCTGGCAGCCTTCCTGTCTGAGCCGCCTCCAGGGAAGGTGACCCCTGCGGAAGGGCAGCCAGGGGCAGCCAGAGGGGGCTGTGTGCTAAGCAACCTCAGCAGGAGAGCCAGGGACAGTAGTCTTTGCTGGACATGCAGGGAGGCAGTGACACAGGCCTCGCAGTAGATGCCCATCCCTGACCCTTCAGGGAGGAGGACACAGCTCCTGTCCACCAGCGTGGGAAGGCAAAGCTCCTGCAGCTCGCCCAGGACAGGCACCTCGCTCTGAGATATGGTCCCAAGGGCGGTGGAGACCCCGGCACGAGTTGAACCAAGCCTGGATCCTCTGAGCAGCCAGGTGGGGCCCACACACAGGATCAGGAAGACAAGAGATCGCTGTTCCGGGGTGAGCAACCTGACCGACAGAGGAGCGGGGCTCAGCGACCCGCACCTGCCCACTGCCCGGCCCCGGCAATGACAGAGACATGCGCACGGTGGGCTCAGACGAAAACCCAGCTGTGTACTTTGGCTGCGGCAGTGCTCAGGCCAGGGGCCCTGCGCAGCCGGGATTTATCCGCAGATGGCCTCGGGGGAGCGCAGTCAGGCCACTGGGAAATTTCCTGAATGAAAGAACAGAGTTTCTTCTCGCTGAGAAAACTCCTTCACCAGTGGGCTGTGTGTGACTTAGACACACTGTCTTGGTTACTTTCTCTCGTTGCTGAGACAAATACCTGACACCCAAAATTAAGGAAGGAAAGGTTTATTTAGCTCACAGTTTGCGGAGGTTTCAGTCCATACTCAACTGGCTCCGAGGCAGAGCGGCACATGGCAGCGGAACACAGCAAAAACAACAAGAGCAAAAGGGAGAGTGGCAGAGAAGAGCGAGTCTCTTTCCCTCCCTCACATTGTAAGCAGGCTACCCCCACCCAGCGGGCGTGTAGCACTCACATAATCTCCGTGGGGTCCTCCTGCACAGGCTCAGATGAATACAAAGTAAGCACCCTGGCTCCCTGCTGAGTCACATATCCAAACTCCTAGACTCCCCAAGTTCACACAATGTATCAACCATAACATGAGCTGACCTACACAGGAGGGTGCCGCACCAAGACCCCGTGCCACAAGGCCACTGCTGGAGGCTGCCGCCCTGGTCCGCTGCCAGGGCTCAAGGAAGCGGGTCCCCAACAATTCCTAGGGTGTTTCACAGTAGCTACAGGAGTCTGAAGACTCGCAGCATGGAAATGCCCAACATTTGAGAAACACCAGTCACTCTATGGACCACATTCTTACACAGCACACACAAACACGTAGAATATCATGTGCCAATTAAAATTAAAAAGTTAAAATGAAAACCCCTATTTTCTAAAGGTATGTATGATGCCTATGTGAGTGCCACAGGCTGAGGACCAGCTGGCTGCCTGCAGAGCCAGGCACCCTGGATTCCTGGACCGGAAGTTGTGGGCTGCTGTCCCTCTGCAGGGACAGAGGGCTGGGAGGCTGCACTGCAGCAGCCTCCTGCCTGGCAGCTGTGATCACGTGCTCTGGGGGCCCGAGTGGAAGGAGCAACCAATCTGCAGATTACAGAAGGCGTCGGACAGGAGGGCAGGCAGTCTCCACATACCCAAGCAGTGGAGGAGGCAACAGGCCGCGCTCCAAAAGAAGATTCTGATCCCGAATGCTCTGCAGGCTGAGGGCAGGTCCCAGGGGCTCTGCTGCCAGGACTCAGGAAGCTGGACCGAGGCTGAGGTGTGGACTCCTGCTGCAGGGGCCCTGAGGAGTTGTTTGAAAGCGTGTTCAAGTCAGAGCCTGGGCTAGGGTGTGGGGAATATGAGGCATGGGTTTGAGCCCCAGCTCCGCAACATAACAGAAGGGAGGAAACGTGCGCAGGAGGCTGTTAGATCCGACTGTGACCTGATGGAAGGAGATCAACAGCACCCTCAAGGGCAGGGACAAGGATGGATTCCGTTGTGAGTAGAGCGTGCATTTGAGCAACTTTCCAAGCTGCTGCGTCGCTAGGGAAGGGACCGAGAAAGGCAGGGCTGTGTCTCCTGGAGTCATTTGCTAAAGAACCTAAACCTAGAAGTACTTTCTGGGGGGTCAAGGACATAGCTCAGTGGTAGGGGCTTGCTCGAGACCCTGGGTTCGATCCTGGCACTGCCGAAAGGAAAGCTTATGTTCGTGTACTACTGGATGCTAACTTTGAGAGCAGAGACTCTGGCGTGGCAGATGTCCTTGCGGGGCACAGGCCTGGCCACAGAGGTCCTTCTGGAGCCTAGCGCTGTGCTTAACACGCATCAGGCCCGCTATGCCTGGTCTGCCTTGGACCCAGGTGAGACCCGGGACTGAGGGGAATTACCATGGCTGGTGGCTGTAGGAGGCGAGGGTGTTCACTTATAGCGTGGTGGATTTGCCATTTTTGATCAGACCCAGAAAGAAAACATAGCATAAAAGGGCATTCTTATGTCTTGCCCCCACCTGGCTGCTGGGAGGGTGGTAGATATGACATCACTATTTTGCTAACCTGAGTTCTCCAAACCTTGCCTGTGCCAAGTCTCGCCCCAAAATGAGTCCTTGACTAGGGAAAAACATTTCAGGCAGGAACCACATTTTACACGCCTCTTAGTCTGTATCCTTGGTGCCCACATTTACCCCCATTAATTTTTTTCCAAAAATCACATTTAAAGTGTAGCGTTAACAACTGCCAGATTCCTCGGGTATTTATTCTTTCAACCAATCATTTTAACAGCAGCCTTTAATCTTCCATTCCCAGGCCTTACTTCACACACAGGCATGATTTATAACAGAAAGTTATTAATTCCACAAGACAGGGATTTTTTTCAAGGACTGGGAACATTCACAAAAAACAGGGTATGACTCCTACTGGTTGTTCTGAAAAATCTGTATGCTATAAAAATTGGTAACATTTGTCATCCAGTGCAGGAAAAGGGAAATTAGTAAAACACTCCTCATAAAGGACACATTCTTGGATTTTTTCTATTTATTTTTCTCTCAAAAATATCTCAAATTTTATCTTCTTTGGTACAAAATGATCAGAAAGGCTTCTTTTGAAGAACTATGATTTTTGTGTGTCCCCAGAGAACTTTGAGTTAAAGGCCAGAGATAAAGAAAATCTCCAAATCCAGGAAGAACTCCGGCCAGCAGCCCGACTCAGAGTGAGAGCACGCTCCTCCGTGGCTCTGTTGAGAAATGGAGCGGGAGCTCGGGACCCGCCAGGGTCGTGACCACTGTCGGCTCACTGTGGTCCCCCGGTGGGAGCAAAGAGCTCAGGAACTCTGCAGCTTCTGGGGAAAGATGATCTGTCCCGTCACCCAAGAAACCCAGGCCAAGCCACAGAAGACTGGAAAAGGGGCTTGCTGCAGACGTGCCTGCCATGAGGGGAATCTCAGAGGTTCTGTAGTTCACAGCTTATTTGGAGAGAAGGAATCAATTGTGTCATGAGAAGTGAACCAAGTGATGAGGTTTCTTTCCATCTGTAGGAAACGAGGGGTGAGAAGGAGAAAGATGAGGGCGTTTTCTCTTTTCAACAATAAACATTTTGGTCAAGGCAACATCTTGAACAGGAGTAAAGAAGCCACGCTGCCCTCCCTCTCAGGTCGGTGGCTCCTGACCTGGACACAGCGTTCTCTCTGGGCAGAAAGCAGTGCGTCAGTGGTCTCTGCTGATGCCGCTGTCCTTGTGGGCTGTAGGGAGTGGACCAGGAACAAGTGATACTTTAGCACAGACGAGACGGGCGTTGCTGACCCCATGTAATTGCCTTCCATTGCTTACCATAGAGGCACGGAGAGTGCTGAGGGTGGAGAGGCTCTGCCCCGACTGAAGAGTCCTCGGCTGCTCTCCCTTTGGGTATCTGCTCCAGGCTGGGAAGCTCAGCTTTCTGAGTGCCACCATGACTCCACAGTGGAAACTTGCACCCCCGACCTCCTGGGACAGGTCTCAGAACACAGGTATCCTAAAACTACAGTGGCACTCTATATCACTGTGCACTTATTGTGGCTTCAATGTATCACAGGTTTTTTAGAAAATACATCCAGTTTTGTATGGCAGAGATTTCACTATTTCACGGGACTTTGCAGTATA